CGGAAATTCTCATGGAAGCCGTGATAATTATTGGTACTTTTATGGATGCTTTGAATGCACTGATTATGGTGACCTTCAAGCGTTCAAATGTGATGATTGTGTAAAGTTTGATAAAGAACTTGCAGAAAAGGAAGCTGCGGCAGCGGCCGCTGCGGCTGTTGCTGCTGCTACTTCAGAAACAAATTCTGATACTGATGAGGAAACAAATTCTGATGGTGAAACAATTTTGGAACTTAATGAACAACAACTACTACAAAATGACATTATAGTACAAATTCAAATAGTGGCAGCTGGGGATGCAAATGTGGTTGTAAATGATGCAACTGATGATGGGAATGATGGAAATGATGGGAATGATGGGAATGATGGGAATGGAAATGGTGAAGAGGTAGTTGTCATGAGTGCTCAGATAAGTAATGGGGATGATGTACTGATACCAACCGATGCTAGCGATGATGGAAACTCATCGATACGTACGGAGAGTGACGATGATGAGAATTATAATATAGTGATTGTAACTTAGCCCACTTGATGATTTGACACCTCTAAGCCCTCATTATCCAAAAAAATTTTATCTTTCAATAATAAACCATAATCTAGAAACTCCCACTGCCACGCTTGTACTTTATTTTAATTTTACATAAGGCCAACATAATTCGTTTTTGAAAATTTTTATTCAATACACATAACATCAACCAATCAATTTGCAGCATCAGTTATCATGTGTATTTACATTATTTTTCAACCAATAAAATCACAATATTTTTTCGTTTTTTTTTTTTAATGCCTCACCTATTTTATGTTAAAGAAGCATGAGAGAAATTCGTTTTTATTGGCTGATCGTTAGTGACTCTGATTGACTAAAATTAAAGATTAATTGTCATATCGAAATGCCAGATTGTCAATCGGGACAGCCCAAATGTTTTCTCTAAATCTAACCCCAACGTCTGGATTTGAATTAATTATTTTTTGGCCAGATTGATAGCTGGACAAATTGTCATCTGGTGTACAACATCAATATCGATACCGCTATCATTCACTTTCTCACACGAAATTTGGGACTTTTTACTTTAAAAAAAAAACTTTTATATCAGTTATTTCGTTTTAAATGATAAGAATTTAATGTAATGATTTCATATTAAATACCACTATTATATTGCCAAAATCGGTTCTATCAACTGCTAATATGAAAAATATATTTTACACGTAATTAGGGCAATAACATATACATACTGTAAATTCTCGAAATAGCGGGCATCTGCACGCTATTTCGAATACGCCGCCCATGGGCGTTATTTCGAATATATTAGCAGATTTCTGAATAGGGACGTTAAGTAGTCCACCCTAAAAAATTTCGCTATCAGGCCGAATTAAAATCCAAGATCAGGTGTAACATAAAATCAAACCAAAAATACCCCAAATTTTTTTGGGTGTGATGCTAGGGTCTTAACAAAGGACTGGTTCTAGGACCGAACTTTTGGCATTTCGCTTTTAAAATTTTCTATATTGTATATTAAACTGCTAGGTTATACCCGGACTTAAGAACCGGACCTGGATCGGACAGAACTGACTCTTAACTTGCATGGGCGTTATTTTGAATCCACATGTTATTTTTGGGGACGTGATTTCGAAATAACGCCCATGCCCGCTATTTCGAGAATTTACTATACTAGCTAATATTTTTGAAAGCAGGAAGAGGAAAA